CAGACCTAATAACCTCAAAATCAATTATAAAAACAAGTCAATTGAAGAAGTTGTTTCAACCAAGTTTCTAGGCATAACACTAGACCAAAATCTTAACTGGAAACAACATATTTTAACGATATGCACGCACCTTAATAAATTTGTTTTTGCTTTGAGTCGAACTCGCAAAGTAGCTTCAAAACACGCAGCAATTATTGCTTACCACGGCTATGTTGCCTCAGTTTTGCGCTATGGTATCCTTTTATGGGGAAATTCGGTAGATGTGAGTAAAGTTTTTATTACTCAGAAAAAATGTATTAGGGCTATCATGGGCGTTGGACCTCTTATGAGCTGTAGGCCAATTTTCCACGAACTCGGTATTCTGACAGTACCAAGTTTGTATATCTTGGAAGCAGTTATGACTGTCAAGAAGTATCCAAAACTATTTAATACATACAAAGAAACGTGCTTATATATACCGAGGGATCCAACACGGCTGCGGGTGCCTGCATGTTGCACCGCGCTATATTCTAAAAATTGTAACGCCATGGCTATAAGAATATTTAATCACCTTCCCAGAAGTTATAGATCGCTGTCATGTAATGTTTTCAAGGGGAAGGTGATTGGGTTTCTAAAGTCAAGGTGCTTTTATAGCGTAGGCGAATATTTGGCCTATAAGTTTGACAACAATTGATTATAAATAGCTTGACGTATTATCATGACATTATGTTAATGTTTTTATTATATGACATAGCAAAAATTTATGACATTTGCATGCCTATTTATATATGGCTGATTGTCCGGATATAAAAAATAAATAATGTGATTATAAAATCACATAAGGCTTGATTGTAATATAGTAAAATTCTAATTGTTAATTATGTAATATAAATTTGCACGCTATTATATGTGGCAGAATATGCGGAGTTAAGATTGTACAACCATAAGATTTTTATACCATATTCTTGCAAATAAATGATTATTATTATTATTATTATTATTATTAGAGATTCTTTGGACCACAGAGTAGCGTATATATTTTTATTTGGATGCCTCCCAAAGACTGATTTCTGAATTTCACAAAATATTACTGTTGGTTTAAGTTTATTCCAATATGCTTTGCAATGCGACCTGGAGACTAACTAACAATAAAGGTAACTGCTAAACACACTAAATATGGAAGAGCGTCGTATCTTGTAAAACGCGTTACGCACTCTGAAAAACTTAAGGACGGGAATCGAGACGGCGGGCTTCCACTCGCCTATGAATATTAGAAATATTTTTGGAAAAGTGGCTACGCGAGGACTGCCTCTTACAGGATTCGTAACAAGAGAAAAATAGGTTTCCTCAGGAACTGCTCGAGCGGTCCGTGTATTGCGAATATGAATTTAGTATGGAAACTGCAGATCGGCGTGCGGCGACCGCATATTGCAGTCGGTCTTGACTGCAACATGCGATCCGTCTACGTAAATAAAATAATAATTAAAATGGGGATCGCTATCGTTATTAATTTAAATTTATTTGGTCATTGGTAAATCTTTTCTTTTTTCGTTAGCCGAATGCCGAATGCATTCCAAGTGCTAATACAATAAGTTCGCGAATACACACATCAAGAAAATATTTCTTTTAGAACTAAACGTTACGTAAAAACGCGCGCCCGAAAAAATCAAAAACAAACCAAAACAAAAAAAGATTCCTTCAAAAAAAAATTTTCAACTTTCCCCCTCAAAACACTCCCCTTTTTTTTTTATATAAACATAAAAAAAACCCCCACCCACAAAACCCCCACAGGGGGGGGGGGGGGTTCCCCCGGGGGGGGCCCCGAAACAACCCCCGGGACCCCCCCAAAAAAAAAAAAAAAACCCCCCCCCCCCCCCCCCCCCCCCCCCCCCCCCCCCCCCCCCCCCCCCCCCCCCCCCCCCCCCCCCCCCCACCCCCCCCCCCCCCCCCCCGGCCCCCCCCGGGGGCCCCCCCCCCCCCGGGGGGGGGGGGAAGAAAGAAAAAAAAAACGTAAGAGTAGAGACTTGAGACGGAAGCTAACCAAATTGGAACCCAATATATAATTTCTGTGCAGCAAGGATCTCACAAAATTAATTTAGAAAATTATTTATTAAAATTATGTATTTGGAATTTTAATTTCAGTTTTTCATTATGTTTTCAAAATTTAGTTATTGTTTCGTTAACAGTTCTTCCGCTCTACGCCCACGACTACGACTTGCGCATTTGTTTTGTAATTTGAATTAATTACACTAACATCATTTCTCTTGACGTTCATAAGTGAACAAAAAAATTTCCTAGTGATTTCTTCATAAAACCTATCATTTAAATTCTCTAAGTGAACAATTCAATTTTTGAATATATAAAATATGTATGTTACATAAGGGGGCATAATAATCATAGGTAGCCTAAGGTGGGGCATGGCACAAAGATTGGGAAACACTGGTGTATACGGTATTGTAACGATCAACAGGTGGGGCAAATCGTTAGGCACTCCTCGGCCTTCTAGCGCTAATGATGTGTACAAACCTGTGTTCGTTTCGTATCTTACGATTCGCACTATAGAGGGGAGGTGATTACGTCCACAGTAATTATTTACTTTTTTACACAATATATTACCCACACATTGTCTATGCTTGAAAACGAAATCATTTTCGAGGATTCGTACAAAAAATTAATACGTTTATGTACTATTATTTTTGAGAGCTTTGCTTACTTTTGCTGACAATTGGGAGAAAATAAAGACTTGATTTCTAATTATCTACATCGCTTAAATTCGTAGTGTCGAAAGTGGTTCTTAAACAACGGTCACCTTGCGGCGTAGAACTACAGTTTGAATAAATGACTTCTATTCTACAGACTTCATAGCTCTGTGATTACTAACGCCCGAACCCAATAATTAAACCAAAATCAAAAGTAAAAAAAACTGGGGAGGCCGCCCGGGAAGGGGGGGCGTTTCTTTTTCCCCCCCCAAACCCCAACCCCCCCCAAAAAAAAAAACCCCTTTTTGGGGGGGGAAAAATTTTTTTTTTTTTTTTTTTTTTCCCCCTTTTTTTCCCTTTTTTTTTTTTTTCCCCCCCAAAAAAAAAAAAAAAAAAAAAAAAAAAAAAAAAAAAAAAAAAAAAAAATTGGTTTTTTTTTTTTTTTAAAAAAAAAATATTTTTTTTTTTTTTTAAAAAAAAGGGGGTTTATATAAAATAAATTTAAAAAATATTTATGGGGGGGGGGGGTTTTTTTTCCCCTTTCTCTCCTTTTTCCCCCCCCCCCCCCCCCCCCCCCCCCCCCCCCCCCCCCCCCGGGGGGGGCCCCCGGGGGGGCCTTTTCCCCTTTTTTTTTTTTGTTTGGTTTTTTTTTTTTTTTTTTTTTTTTTTTTTTTTTTTTTTTTTTTTTTTTTTTTTTTTTTTAGGTAAAGATTCTGGATTGAGATAAATAATCGATACGTTGTTAGTAAAGTTCTGTGAGAAATAATCGATATAAGCAAGTGTTAAAAGCAAATATATAAGTATGTTGAAGGATCTTCAACTCTGAGTACAGGGTAACTCACCATGTTAGCGAAATATTAATTTATTTTATTTCTCAGTCCAAAAGCAGCCCAACGTAATCCTCAATTTTACGATCTATTTTAACGAAATTTACGCTGGTACGTCAATTTACCGGGCAATAAATCAAAATATGAAAACATTCCAGACATTATTACTGTTTCATACCGAGAAATAATTCTGAGACGCTTTGAAAACAGGGAAAATATTCCACTACACTTTTCTGTCACCCAAATAAATATTTCTAAATTAATTATAATTTCAGTGTTATTTAGAAATTCTTCAATTTCAAACTATTGCCTATTTCATCATTTGTGTTGTTTACTTATTTTATTATATAGGTGAATTTTACATTGTTTTGCAAATTGTTTCTAAAATAACCAGAAAAACAAATGAAATAAACATTGTATACCCTCATCATAATGAACTGAACTTATACTTACAAAAGTAAGAGAGTAATTGGATTAGTTATTTGGAAACACTAAAGTACATATCATTAAACACAGATTTTGTAACTTTCTGTGTGTTTCATTTAGTCTAGATTATTTACAAACTAAGTATAGAAACTTGACCAAAAATATCAGACGTCCAAATATTATAAAAATCTTCTTTTTAAATTCAATCTAAAACAAATAATGAAATCTAATAAACACACTGTCCAAAGTAACTATAAGAATTTAATAAAATGTCACTTGGGGGGCTCAAAAATAGAAACATGAAAGAAATAGGTACTTCAGAACAAATATTAAAACGAGGACTAAAGTAAGACATATAAGAAAAGGCTTCTATGATTATTTGGCATAACATGTTCATATATTATTTATTATTACAGTTTAAGCCTAAGTTAGCCACAGCCTTTCTGGTTTCTTTTAACAATGTTTATATAATGCTTCTATTACAGTTAACAACAATTTAGGGATCAAATAGGGTTTTGTTTAGAAATCTATTTTTGTGTTTGAATCAGTAGTAATATTATTTTCCTTTAAGTTATGCATAATAATCTATAGAAATCCACTTCAATAATCACAAACATATTATATACAAGTTAGCTATTTAAATAGGCCAATTATTTACAAAGATAATACTAAAGATATAAAAACACAAAATGAAATGAATTTAACTTACAGCTTGTATATAATTAACACAGATTAATGACAAAGCCTTATTTACTCAAAACGAGTTGATCATTAACTTTTATATTTAAAGATATTGTAACTGGTAAAATATTAATTACATTTGTAAGTATAGTATTAAAAGCTATTTATTAATTAGTTAATAAAGAATAATGAGTATAATACTACAATAAGCTAAAAGAAATTTGTTTCCAAATTTGAACTTAAGACTTTTTAATGTATTATTATATAATATTTAATATAAGCTAACTCCAGTCAGGCAGTAAGGCTTGCCAAAATCTGTGCATTAAAACCAAAAATAAATGAAAAATGAACACACTTCTAACAGGACTGCATCTACTTTTCCACTCACGATGAGATCCTCCTCACGAATTCTCTCAGAATTTTTACTTGCTGCCCGAAAAGTTGCTGCTACATACTTCTGTTCCTCTTTAGTCAGTAAAGTACATTTAGCTGCTAATTTCTTACTTGTATTGCCCATTCTGAAATTATTAAATAGTATTAATAAATATTAAGGATCAGTTTTCTAAGACTACAATTAATAAATTGGACGTTATCTTGATATATTTGTTAGTTCCAACAAAATTAAACAATAATGAGTAATTTTATGTACATAGCGTCACGAGTTGCACTCGTTTTTGCCAAAATCATTAGCACATGATTTTTCACGTCATTATCGCTTATGGGCCTTCGATGAGGTTGTTATTATATTTTATACGAAAAGTTCCCTCGATAAAATATATAAGATTACAAGACATCGCCAAATTTATTAAGGAAAAATATACCTTATATGGAAATAATAAACGAGTTTATAAATTTAATTTTAACACCACATCTTAACAATCTATTTGTCCTCTTTTTAAACACTAGTATTATATTTTTATCACCACTATATGAAAGATTTTAATAAAATATTTTTATAAAGTAAATTTCATACACTAATAACGAAAATCAATATTTTTATATTTTGGTGACTGTAATCTTTACAGTGTATACTTGACGAATGAAATGACAACTCACAACTGATTGGAAATGTCATTTATTATTATTGTTGTTATGACAATTCACATTACCTGTCAATTTTATTTTTAGTAATAGGAATTAGGATTCCAAAATTTTCATCAAATTAAAATGAATTAAGTAACACAAAATACACAACTGTCAGTAAAGAGATACACATAGCAATTGTAAATATGCAAATAACTGTATAACATCAGCCACCAGCCATAAACCTCCACTATCTCTATAGATATATATCTCTATAGTAAAAGACATTCTGTGCTTGAAAAATGACACAAACAATTTAGTTGTCTGTGACAAAACTACAAAAACAGTTGAAAATTAAATGTTTGAAACTTGAAAGTAATATGAAAGAGGTGTTGATGTTCAAACTTCAATACGTTTGAATTTTCATCTTTTGTAGTATATTTTGTAATATATTCATGAAAATAAATGTTTTTTAATATTTTTACTCCAGTAAAGTTCTGGCTATTGACCTTTATTTACAAATTGTGTAATTAGTAATCGTCTTAATCTTTTTTGTTTAATATAAAGTGGTCAAGTTATGGAAGTTGATGGTGATAATTGGAACGTGAATCCTTCGGATGGGACTAAATTTGCACATTTAAAGGCTTTTGTGAATGCGACAAGGGAGTTCGAAGCTACACATAGTGAAACTGCCATAAACTTATTAACAAGATACTTAGGCGTTAGTGTTTTATTATTTTTATGAAATGTAAACAAATTGGGAAGTGAATTAATAAGAAACCGAAATTAATAAATATTTCACTCTATTACAGCTTATAGCATCATCTTGTGACCTATCAATATTCTCACCTGGTAGATCAGAGGTGTGTGCCTTCTTCAATTCACTATGGAGAGCGATGTCAGATGCTAGAGGTCCACATTGGGCTGGTGTTGCAGTTCTGGCAAGAGCATGTATGGAACCCAGTGCAAGATATGCACTCACCCATACATACAAGTGAGGTTTCACTCTTATCTTAGAATCATGAGTGGTACAGGGGAAGCATAAGACTCAATAGTCTTGGTTGAACAACCATAACTGTTTATTGTAGCTTTAATAACTACAAAATTTTATTACAAAAAAATAAGCATTTAATAAAAATAACAAGCATATTAATTCAATCATTTTAACAATTAAGAGAATACCCATTAGTCTATAGTCAGGGTTTAAATGACCTTGGGGTTTGATATTAACTGTATAACTTAGTGACTCATACTGTTAGATAAGTAATGTAAGATCTTAATTTTTGAGTATAATATATTTAATAATTGATAATTTTTCTTTTAGGTTTATGCCTATCCTTGCAAGACTTCTCTCTGACACAGTATCAAATGACAAGAAAATAAAATTACTATCTGTAATGCAGGTAAGGTTTCGTTATTTAGTTATTTTTATTTGATTACTTATGTATTTAGTAAATCATCTAATTTATTATATTATTTTAGGACATTTCATATGGAATAAAAATTAATTGGCAAGAGTCATATTTAGCTGAATTAATGAAGACGTTAACAAGTTGGATAGTGCAACCGATGCTTGAGCCACAGCATAGAACAATTGGTCATAAGTCTCTTACTGTGCTGATAAATCTGTGCTATGGAAATTTACCCGCAATATATGCTTTAATGAGGACTGTGGATACAAAGGAGTTTGTTGTTCACTTAATAAGCTTAAAGGTTAGATGTTGAAAAAAAAAATATTAACAACTCTGTAGCAGATTACTAAAATGTATCACATTCCAAAAAAAAATATTTTTGTAATATATTGCCAATTTTATTGTATACAAGATTTAAAAAAATACCTAAATCTATTTAAAGATATTTTATTTCTTTAATATTATGGCAAGAATGGTATTTTTATATGTAAAAGAAGTATTACTTGCCAATATTTTATTATGATTAAAAGTATTTGGTATACTCTTCTCTAAGTAAAGTACTTTATGTGCTTGGCAGCATTATGCTAAACTAACTTATAGATTACCTTACTAAATAATCAGTAGGAAATCTACCAAACTGCAAAAATTCACAAATACAATCAGCCAAAAGAAGTTTGCCGTGTCAGAATAAATAAAGGATCCCATCCCATAGTATTGTCTTTGATTAACATAACTTTTATTCATTTAATGGTCACGGTGACCACGCACGCTGTAAAGCACGCGAAACGTCGGATAAATTTAAAATTATGTTAAATAGTTGTAAATTTATAATAATACATAACTTCAATCCGGTCAAAATAGTGTTTTATTAAAGGACATCCCATTTATATATTTCCTTCATTTTCAGGATGGTGGTTATGGTGGCGTCGAAGTATGTAGACTATTACTTTGCCTGTCAAGTGCCACTCGTAGTGCATCTACCACACGCCAAGCAGATGTGCATAGTTACTTGTGTTGTACGATGAAGACATTCAATAAGGCCATTGTGTATGTATACCAACATCTGCAGTTCTGCTAAACTAAAAACGTTGCGCTTTATGTACATGATTTGGGAACTTTTGTAAATCCTTAGAACCTTCATTTGTTTTTACTGTAGATGTTTTTAAGAGTACATAGTTAGTTAACTATATATATAAATTAATTTTGGTTGACTCAGTTTGTATAGAACTATTATTATTATGTATATAAACACACTAGCAGCTTAATAAGCTGATGCGAGTGTATTTTGAGATTTGGAGAATCTATCCAATCTATTTATCTCTACAATCACTAAGAGATGGTGCACTCTCTGCCACTACTCGGTTTGGGAGAAAGTTCCTTAGGGATTTTGTGTTATGTTGAGTGGTCTTAAGTTTTAAAGAACTAAGAAGTAATATGACTTAAAACATAATTTAGTACTTAGTACTTTAAAAAAAAATTAAACTGTACTTGCCGTCATTATGAAATTATCTTTAAAAATAAGAAATCTGTATAATAATGATTTATAATACGTTGATTACAGGGAAAGTGACGAAACTCAACTACTCCACGCGTATACGTTTATCAACGATTTATGTTCAGATGAGAATCTACGTAACTACGTACTCACGTACCCACATTTTAATAATTCACTCAAGGATGCATTGAAGGTAGGTATTTAAAAAACACTATTATTATTGCCATAAGATTTAAATTTTTGTGTTTAATATAACACTTAAATATTATCTGCACTATAAAGCATGTGTAAAAAAAAAAAAAAAAATGGCGATTAAAAAGAGTGGCGGAGAGTTTATTGCCAGTTCTTCTCTTCCGTTCTACGCCCTTGATTTGAGAACTGGCAGTAAATGTAAAATTAGAAGCATTAATATTTATTTCTTTAATGACGAATTACAAGTGTACATTGTGTTACCTACGTGAATAAATGATTTTTGAATTTGAATTTGTTAGTTAAAAATTAATGTTTTTGTATTTTGCAATTATTGTAAACTGTGACTAGTAGAAACATTTTGAATAAGCTGTTGTATAATTCTGATAATAGCGATTTTAATTTAATAATTTCATATTCATGGTTCAAAGTCAAATCATTTATTTCAATTAGACCACCTAAAGTGGCACTTTTGAACGTCAAACAAAATACAGGGAAGATTCTAGTTGCCCCTTCCAAAAGGTAGTTTCGTGTTGAGAAAAATGGGCACGAAACTCCACACTTACTCTTTTAAAATAGGTTTACAATATTTTGTTTACATGACGACAATGTATTCTTAGAATAAACTACTATAAAAAAGTTAGTATACATATTTACAAATATCGAAACCGTAGAATATTTACATTAAAGAGTAATAAAAAAAAACACAATAAAACAGTGTGTGAGATAAAATAAAATAATTACATTTGTAGCATTATAAATAAAATAAAAAATCAGGTCAGTGACTTATATATAATCAAAAACGATATATAGACTCTGTGGAAGCATATAGACGGGTGGCTATATTATCGAATCCCGCTGAAATATTCAAAGGAGCTCTGCACAAAAGCATCGGAAAAAAGTGGCGGAGAGTTTATTGCAAGTTCTACTCTTCCGTTCTACGCCCTTGATTTGAGAACTGGCAGTAAATGTAAAATTAGAATTATTTATTATATTTATATATATATATTTATTTTTTGACGTTCATAAATGTACATTGTGTTACCTATATGAATAAATGATTATTGAATTTGAATTTGCATCGTAAAGCAGAACCGTATATGTCAGACTTCCAGCAAGGCTTAAGACCCTTGCGTAGTACAAGCAGCAACTTACTGAACGCAATTATGTTATACTTACTGTGAATTCACTCTGCGAACATATAAATATGTCGATTGTTGCGGAGACAGCATTCAGGAGGCGCAACGTTGACGGGTATCTTTAATTAACGGGTATTCATTCAAAATTTATTTTATATTAAGTATGTCTAGTTGTTATGGAGTTCACGAAGTCTACTGCTAGATAATTTAAATGAGTAAAGAGTGTGGCGGATTTTCAAAATTTCAAGGTAGAGGTTGTGATGTTTGTGCCGCCCTCGCCTCTAAAGTTGTCATGTCATGTCATTTGTTGCAACTGCAAGTAAAATAATTTTTGAACAATTATACACAAACCAACCAGTCCGCAGCCTCCAACCAGTAGTAGGACTGACATGTATGGGTTGATAAGGGAAGAGGGAAGAAGAAATTACATATTCTGCAATTTCGCTCTTTTCACTTATACAAAGTTTGAGCTGAAGGTGCAGAGGTGGATTACTGGTTGAGGGCGGCAAACTAGCTGTTTAACTCTAGAGTATAGAAGTTTGCTACACCGAATGTACAATGACAAGTAAGGGAGCGGTCAAGTATTACGTCACGCAATTTTTGGAGATTATTGAAAAACCCCCCCTCCATGTAACGCGCCGTAACGTTTTTCTGTATCCAATAGTAAAACGTTTCGTGACCACCAAAGTGACTCTTTATACCTAAAATTTCCCATTATATGGTGTAAAGTACTGGAAAGTTGAAAATAATATCCCCCCCCCGGGGTTTTCTAAGAGGTAGCAAAAAACAATCTCGCTCCACAAATTTGCCGCCCTAGGCTCCAGCCTACTCAGCCTGCTGGTAAATCCGCCACTGAACTCTTTATATTATAAAATAATAATTTGTTTCAGGATGCTGATAGTCTCTGCAAGGTGAATCAAGGGGATACAATGGAGCCCGAAAGTACCGCAGGGTGTTTGCAAAATGTTCTCAAATTTCTTACTGTTCTAGTCAGTTTGGGTAATTATTTATTTTATTATACAATTGCTAAGGAAACTGAATACAGTACATATGTACTATATTGTCTGAAGATATTTGGCCATCTTATGGGTAATTATTTTAATTTAATTGAGGTTTGGTCTAGTGGTTAGTACCCCTGACTGCAATCCATGGGTCCCTTCGATCCCCATGAGAAAAATCGATGTGATGAGCTTAGGTCATGTTAGGCCAGTTATGGTGTTGTGCTTAGGTCTTGGGTGTTTAAATATGTATTTATATGTCTATCTGTCTATAATATGTATATATATCCATTGCCTAGTACCCATAACACAAGCTTCACCAGCTTAGCATGGGTCAATTGGTGTGAATTGTCAAAAAAAAAAATTGATTTTAAACAGTAGTGTTGACAGACGTGACGTCACAGGTGAAACTAATTTCTATAGTAATTGTCACGTGACAAAATGTGATTTTGTCTCAAGCCCCTGGTCTTTTAAATTTGCATTGCTTATCATTTTATTTATTTATTTAAAAATATAACAAACCTTAAAGAAATATGTATTTGAATTTTAAATGTATATACGCACCCTATAAACTTCAAAATTATATAGGAATTACAAGCTAAAATAAAATATATAAAAAACTTATAGACAATACTATTACTATTAGATTTCAGGCTAGCGTTTTTTACTCGCGTATAACCTCTTATAAGCTCTTTGGAAGCGCATGTAGGCACGTTTTCGCGCGCTTTTTGGCATACGTGCAACTCGTACGAGCGTTGACGCTCTTCTAAGCTCGTATAAGTTCGCAGTTCTGGCTAGAGTGTATTAAAGTGGTTCTCTGTCTTGATGCAACCTGATGACACCCACTGCATCGTCTTCTCAGTCGACGGCGAATAGGTAACGGAAATAGCTGTCTTCGTCAGAATCCATGTTCATACTGACACGACGCCACTACCAGTTCGAGCGAACACGCCGAAATATGCCAGTTTGCGCGCGTCCGGTTTTTTGAAGCGCGTCTTGTGAAACGACCGTATACGCGCAGAAAAATACGCTAGTGTGTTACCGCCCTTAGCACTTCCAAATAGTTCTTGGTCAGTTCACTCAATGGACGATAAAGGTCTGTATGAAGTTCTCTTCATATAATATGTCTATGTTGTGTTGTAGATCTATATTCCCTGCGGAGTCATCACATTGATGTTGTATGTCTGTGTATGAAAGCGAGTCGCGTGTGTCTGGCTGAATCCTTGGAGTTGTTCGCTGCCATCATCACACAGTATCGAGGTATTTCATTTTATTATGGCTTAGCGATATTACAAGGGCTTTGACTTTCCATTGTCAAGGGGGAGTGTGAAGGGGGCCAATAGAAGAAGAGTATAGGAAAAGTATGAGTTGTATATACTGGTCTTGATTGTACTAAAAAAACATGTAACCATAGTGACGAATACGATGAAATTAGGAAAACAACGCGTGGCACTCGGGGACTGCCGCGGTAAGGCTATTGCATAGCATTTATTATCAACTTATAAAATTATAATTATTTATTTATGCAGTATTTTTTTTCTTTAATATTAATTCAATCTTCCACTCTACCAGACTCAGACTTACACGCCTCTCTCTGTCTCACTCTAACGCGTACCGGCTGCACCGGCCGAGCTTACGCTACGTCACCGATCTCGTCAGAGAGATGTGAATACGCTGTATGCGTTCTGTCCCGCTCACCGTACGTCACCGATCACGCCAGACCGATGTGAGACGCAGTATGCGTTTTGTCCCGCTCTAACGCGTATTGGACGCACCTATATTATTACGTCATCGTGTGTTAGGTTTTTATTTTCGTTACGGAATGTCTTGTTTCGGTCGCCGCGCTCAAAGCCCGCGATAAAATGTATGCAATAGCTTTAAAAAATTTGACAAAACGATTTTTAAAAAAATCCTTAATTAAGTCAATTCTTAAAGGGCCGGAAACACACACGCGCCCTCTGGTATTGTGTGCCCTTGGGCGAAGGTATCACTTAACACCAGATGAGGCTCCTGCCTGTTAGCCCATAGTTCTATAAAAAAGGTAGCCTGCATACCTCCTGGCGATGTTCTTGACCCCAACTTAATTCAGCCCAATTTTCTATGCTGACCCTACCTGCTCTATTTGTTCTATTCTGAATAAATATTATTAACGTAAAAGTCAGAATTGACCTAAAAATCTTGTAATTTTTTAGAGGAAGGTAGACTGCCGAAGGAACTAATATCGGTGCTAAGTGATGGGTTGCCGGCTTTATTGGTGCCACCATCTATGGAACCGGGCAAAGCTGGCTTGCAATGGGTAATTCTATACAAATAAGTCTTATAGTTTATGTAGAGAGAACGAAACGCGTTTATTAAAAAAATAATAATGTTGAGTAAAAGTGTTAGAGAAATTTAATTCACATTTATCAGTTAAAACTGTGGTCACAATTCAGTTAAAACTTATTAAAATAAAAATAAAATTCTTAGTTCACAACGTACGATTGAGTTAAAATGAGTACAACAATTCAGTTAATAATTTGTTTAAAAAAAAAAAATGTAGTTTAAACAAAGTTAAATTATTTTACGTTTACAAGTAGTAACGCGTTGAACGGGTCGACTCAATCTTGGCACCACGGACAGGGTCTTCGAAACTAAGTTCAGTCACACAGTGCCGTCTTGTCTTGAAGACATATCGTAATTCAGGAAAAAAAATTTACGTAAAGAAGAGGTCATGTTACAATTAAAGTTAAAAATTTGTTAGGCGCGTTATGTAAAAAATGGAAGTTAAATATTTAGTTTCGCACTGTGACACAAAATAAAACTTAAGAATGTTGTTGCCCATGGAAGATGCTACGACATTGGACTAATTTACATAAAACACATTCGAAATTATAATAAATTTAGTTCACAAAATGTAAAGAGAATAATAATAAATATTGATGTAATTTTTCAAAGTAAACTGATCTTACAGTTATAAGGACTGGGCCTTTGCCAGGCAAGTGATTATTCAATTGTAATTAATTATTTGCATGCAATCAAAAACTATTCCTTGTGGAGATAATTGAAGTATATTCAATATACGCGCGTACACAGGTAGACGCATTTTTTTTGGTAATACTTGCCTCATTGGTCTAATGATTCAAGTTCGATAGAACTCGGCTATACGGGGTAAATTTCAGGTGGGGTAACAAACAGTTACATTTGACCTTTACGATTACATTGGAAAGCAAATTCTTTTATTACAAAAGGCCTTCAAAAAGGCACTTTTAAACGTCAAAAAAACAATAAAAAATATTTAAAATTCCTAGTTGCCCCTCCAAAAGGTTGTTTCATATGGAGAAGAATGGGCAAGAAACTATATACTATTTTAAAATGGATTTTATTTTTGTAACCATTGATTTGATAATTATATACAAAGACTTACATGTTGGTCTAGTAAAAAATACTACTATACTAAAATAAAATAGGTGCATGGTGTTAATAATATCAATGCAAGCAGATTAATCTTAGAAACATGGTGCTCACATATTCTAGAAGGAATCATTAAATATATAGATCAAGTTCAAATTTCTATCATTATGGACTAAACTTAATTAATTTAAATATTATAATTGGGTCAAGGCAGTGACATCGGAGGTTCGGTCTCCGCCTGGGTACCAAGGATCTTTGGTCTTTCTTTCGCATTTAACAATCACTTGTACGGCGAAGGAAAACCTCTTAAAGAAACCAGCATACCTTAGACAGAAGGCAGATTACCAACTTGCTGAATAAAAAAAAAACAAATCCGGCCATGACCAAGCCCTGTGCGGGTCATTGTTTTGTTTTGTGCTGTATTGTCCATGGTATTATTATTTGGTTGGGTCTCTATATAGTAATAATCCAGTGTCCCTAGAAACTTTTTGAAGTTATACTTATTTTGGCGCGTTAGGGAAAAATGATGAGAGTAAATTTTTACGATGCGCGCGCACGCCGTCACAAAAAACCGACACCCGCACACCGTCACAAAAAACCGACATCCTGAAGTTAGCTATAGTCAACATTTTAAAAATGACCATCCCTTTTTGTAGAAATAATATTTGATATTAAATAAACTCTATTGTAACTAGTGAATGCGTTATATTTAAACTTTCAATCAAACTTAGAACTAAGGGTTTTCTCCAAACTAGAATAAAAAATTTATAAAGATTTCTATCTTGTCGTTGTTGTGTTTTAATGAAACTCAGCTGCAGATTAAATCTGCAATAAAATAACACTGTCTGAGATGCGGTTGAAAATGCAGGGATATACCCAACGCCAAGGGATCCCGCTATGCTATATTCTTTTATCGATATTTGCAGTAAGTCTAGCAAATGAGGTCGATTTTTGGGTTTAAAATATGCCAGTTTTACGATATTTACCTTTATTAAGAAGAATAATAGGATACATAGAAGGAAAAAGTATTGAGTACAGCCAGGATACGACTCCAGGTTTAATAGTCGCATGCTTAAAACGTCTGCTGTGTCTAATGTTTCTTTAAGAATTTTTTAAATTAAATGTATAGTAGTCACGCACGTTTGTCAATCTTACATTAAATTCAATTAACTTTTTTTTCAGAATGGTCCAGTGGGGAGTGAAGTGTCCCAACAAGCCGTGATAGTGTCGTGTCGTACTGGGTTGAGTTTAGCGCCTTTGGATCGAAATTGGGAGGCTGCACTCAATAGGATGCTGGCCCATCACCAGGTATTAATAGGCGCTATAACCCTGTATATTTGTACACCAATGCGACAATGTCACTGAAATTAATAAAAACATCAAAATTTTAAAATAATTATTCTTAACGTTGTCTTTTTTTGAGCAGTGTTAGCCTAGTAGCTTCAGCGTGCGACTATCCCTTAGGTCGTAGGTTCGAGCCCCGGCTGTGCACCAATGGACTTACTTTCTATGTGGGCATTTAACATTCGCTCGAACGGTGAAGGAAAACATCGTGAGGAAACGTTAGACCCCAAAAGTCGACGGCGTTCGTCAGGCACAGAAGGCCGATCACCTACTTACTTACCTACTTGCCCTTTAGATTAACAACCATGAAACAGATACAGAAATCTGAGACTAATTTTTTTTTTACAAGAGATTTATTTTTATTTTTTCTAAAGTGACGTTTTTTTTAAGTCTTATTTTTGCTTTTAAAGGTGCTAATTGAATTCGAGGTGTAATGTTGTTTTCGGTGCGGGCCTTAAGGACCGTATAATAGTGTTAAGCCTTTTAGACAGCAATAAAAGCTAAGCGGTCTTTGTAGTATACCCTTTAAATATACATATTTATAATAATCGTAGGTAATAATAATACAATTATTTCTGTTCTCACCATGTATAGTATTAGCATAAGGGTTTTGTTGTTGTTTTGCTACTCGTATTTAAAAGCTCCCTCTATACATACGGTATTTTTAAGGTGCACCGTAGATTCTACACATAAAAAAAATTTTTTAATTATTCCGTGATATGCTGTTATGTATAAAAATAATATATGAATTAAATTTCCAGGTTCGAAAATTGTTGTGTTCCGGTCTATCTGGCAATAACGCGTCTCGCAGGAGACAGATCTTGCAGTTGATCAAACATCACTACTTCCCCTCAGACCAAATGAATCAGGTATTGTTAATTTATTGTGATTTGAAAAGTAAAACTTACATTTAGAGTGATGATTTGTCAAACGCTTTTGATAATGACACTGGAAGGAACTAGCGTTTCAGATACAAGACTAAGTCTAGTTGAAACTTTAGTGCTCAAAGAATTATATTATGTACAAGGTTAAACAAAATTAATAGTGTATTTCAACAATTCATTACGAAATGTAATTGTTTTTGCGTCAAATAAAGTGATATTTATTAAAAAGGTGTGTTTGCAAAAAAGGTTCTTAGGATACAAAATAACACTAGCGGACCCGACAGACGTTCTGTACACCACACGTCTCAAATACAAAAATTTAACTAAAAAAATTTAAATAAGATTATCTAGTTGTAAATCTGAACTATTTTCGAGTCAACTTGAACACACAAAATTTTTTATCAAAATCGGTCCAGCCGTTTGAATTACGAACAGAATGTTTATATTATTTTTATTCAAGCAAACCATAACTCCATTTTGACACAAATTTTTATTAAAATAAACTACCACTTTAAGAACGTTTGTGGATTTCGACAAAAAATTTTTTTATTTATTTATACCACTTTATGGAAAGGGTTAAATAAAATCTTTAAATATTGCAGGTATTTGGTGAAAATGTGAATAGTGTATCAGACTTAAGCGTGGAGAGTTTATCGCCTCGAGTGGACATGGAAAGTGAGATGGTGACTTTTGGTCCTTCGCAACAGACTGCTGTGGATGACCTCGTCACTAGACTTAATAAGGAATTGGATTCGGGGAGAGTGAGTACTTTGAATATTAGTGTGTCACACAGCACACCCACACACAGCACACACACACACAGCGCTGAAGATGAATTATTTTTAATTTATTTAACTTTATTGAAAACTACCGGACCCGAAAGACGATTTAAACACAAATTTCAATTACACAAAGATTCGATCGTCTTGGTCGTGGTTAATTATCATTAACCATTGTTAATGATAATATCGACATGGTAAGCTATTAGAAACTCGAAATAAACACATGAACTGATCTTCAAAACTTCTAATTGTCAAATTTTTAATCATACTTAACCATAGATAACATTACGTTGAGCTGTCAGTTGCGTGTTTGTGTGTCTATGGCCTGGTTTTAAACTATCTCCCTACCAATTTTCAGCCAAATCAGTTCAGCCGTTCTATAGAGATTTAAACAAACATGTGACGGAAGAACGTAAATTAATAACAGCTTTTTTTTGTTCACCGTCGATTTACATTACAATAATAATAATACTTAAAATATGTTCCAATAATGAGTGTGTGTAAAATTTGTAACGTCATATTTTCTTGTATCTTCTTACCATACATGTTTTTTAGGACTTATACATTTAGCGATGTCTTATTAATTTTGAAGCTAGTTCACAAGTAACAGATATGTTTTTGCTACCGTACCTATCATTGATAAGACAAAGACATATCATTTATTACAAACAAAAACACACACACATAAACACACAAAATAACAATAATCAAAGAAAAAATATATTAAATAAAAAATATAATGAGATATGTATATAAAAAAAAAATTCCTTTTCCCATTCGGTTCGTTTCAAGCGTGTAATACGTGTGTGCTGTGGCTGTAATTAATTACATTATACGTAAGTTTTAATTACAGCGTTATATTTAGCGTACCGGGTTTTCGTCACATTTCGCCGATTTGACTTCTCATTTTTAGTGAGGTAACAGTTGATTGAGAGTCCCACGCCCATGCCATTTGGACTTCACGGCTAATTAATACAAAATTATGATTTAACAAAGTTAAATATTTCAGATCACAAATATTGCTACGTCGAGTGTAATGGAGTTGTACGGGTACAAGATCACGTGCTTGGAGCAAAGGCTGCATTCGCATTCCGTGGCTCTACAGGTATACGATTATATATTTTTGTTTTTGAATAATGTAATTAATATATTTTGTCCGTAATTTTGGGAAAATTTACCTTATTAATAAAAATAAATGTGTTTAATATTTAAGCATTATAATGTGTAAGATTTGAGAACTCTTTTAAGTAAAAAATACTGTTTCTCTGACACAGCTCCAGATGTTCCATAACAAAATCAATACTTAATTCTATAACTATATAAAAAAATTAATTAAAATAATTTATTTTTTAATATAATTTTGAAAATTTTTCACTATCTTTATTTTTTTTTGAAAAAAAAACGCGATCGAGAGTGTGATGTGTATCATTTCCAACTCTGCTCAAGGTGTATTCAGAAGCCAGCCCAAAACAGTTTATTTTGAAATTGTGGACGGTGGGTGGGTAGATGTTGAGCAGCCTATTTAATTCAAAGGTCCGTTATTGATTTCTAAGATTTTGTTATGACAGTATGTTTTTGCGTATCGCTTGTAACTAAAAGGTTTCGAAAAGTACAAAAGATCTTCTACAAGACAAATTAAACGATAAATTTCCTCAAATATTTGGAAGAACAAAATCCTACTTACAAACTAATATTATCATTTAAAAAAACATGTGTGTACTCATGCACACGCAAATTTAAAAATAAAATTTGATCCTTCGCCTTATTCTACGTTTGTAGACAAAACGACACTAAAAATAGAAAAAAAGGTATTTAATACATTACATTTTTTTATTATAACGCATTATCAAGGTAAATAAAGCTTATTTAAATATCACAAAAAAATATTTCTACATAATTAAAGAAATGCACATTTTATATTAAAATGTTGACTATGCTAACTTCAGGGTGTCGGTTTTTTGTGACGGTGTGCGCGCTCATTTCATTAAAATTTACTTTCATATTTTTTCCCTAACGCGCCTATCGAAGTATGAAGTATTAAAATGCAAAAATGTTTTATTATTGCATTTAAATGTTGTCAAACATCGATATGATATAATATATAATTATTGATTATCTATGCTTTTAAAATGTATAATTAAACAAACAAAATATTCTTTAATTAATTTAGGTTTTCATAAGATGGTAATACTATTGCAGGGTGCCACAGATCATATGGCGTCGTTGCAGCACGCGCTCGCATTACTTCAAGCAACAAACAGCACGCAACAAGACGTTCTTTATACCACACAGATGCAGACTGAGAGGTAAAATTTAACCAGATAACGCAATTTGCATACAAACTTCTAAAAGTTAATCATTTTATTTGTTATCATTTTTGTGGAATATTCATGTGATAATAGTCTTTCTCTTTTTGTGTTCAAACCCCTGTTCTGTGCTCAAACGCACGTCCTAAGCCTTGAGAATCGCTCAATTTGTAGTCTTACTGAAGGTCGTTCCTGTCTATATACCCTAACGGTCTAACCAATACATTGACTTGCTGCCTCCACTGCTCTATCTTCCTCCCTCTATAGGGTTATTAATAAATAAATGAATGGCGCTACAACCTTTTTAGGTCTGGGCCTCAGATTTCTATATCTGTTTCATGATCATTTGTACCTCAGCGATCAGCCTTCTGTGCCTGACGAACGCCGTCGACTTTTGGGTCTAAGGCAAGCCGGTTCCCTTACGATGTTTTCCTTCACCGTTCGAGCGAATGTTAAATGTGCATATAGAAAGAAAGTCCATTGGTGCACAGCCGGGGATCAAAGTCGCACGCTGAAGCCACTAGGCCAACACTGCTCTACTCTCTAGGGTTATTAAGACCAATAATTGTCTGTCAAACCAACGGGTAGGCGATTGACCTCGACTTCAGGAGAAGCCGTCACTCCGAACATTACTAGATTGTCAAACCTATCCGATTCTCTCCTGACAATATGACTAGTATCTAAACATACATTTGTAAATGACAGTTGACAGTTATGTGGTGATCTTTAGGTTCTTAAACGGACTAGTTGGGCTCTTTGCAGTCCATGGTATCCGTAATAATCTCCAACACCACATCTCAAATGCCTCTATCTTTTTTTGAATGGCAGAATTGAATTGTTTGTAATAGTTGTGTCTTGTGGTGATCTGTGGTTGAGAATAGACTTGTTGATTCTACGAAGACGCACTCTAAACCAGTAGATTAAAATATTTTATACTTACTCAACTGACTCTGCTTCCCAAAACGTGACTTGGCCTCTGAACTGAGAATCTTCCTGCGCTTCCTATCCTGTGCTACCTCCAGCCAATTGCTGGCTTTCCGCTGCAGCAGGTTGTCCACTCTGTCGATCCAGAAGTACCTAGGCCGACCTACTGGTCTCCGACCTCTAGGCCGGCTCAGGTGAGCTTCCTTCACCGGCCAAGCTTGCGCTCAAGAAAGGTTTTATATTTATAATCTTAGCATTATTTAACGATTCCAGACATAAAAAGACAATAGAGGAATTACATAAACAATTAGAGGATGCGGAAACAACGCTGCGTGGTTTCCGAGCGAAGTTAGCCGCAGAACGGCTTGATAAGGATAAACAGAGGGAGAACGCGCAAAAGGAATTCAGACAACAATTAACTGTAAGTATTATTTATATTTTATTTTTAACTAACAAATTTCTTAAACCGTCTTAGGATGGGTTATTTTTTTTTCAATCAAAATCGGGATCACATATTTTTTCCCCCTCAGCTGACAAAGTTTATGCTTTTTAATTTACTTTCATTTTTACTGTTATTTTTTTTAAATTTAATTTTAAGTTTTTAAATATCTGAACAATCATAGAACTGTTTTTTCAAATGTGTATAATAAGTTATATTTAAATTAGTGGGACTAATACTTTGTATGGTAAACGACTTACTCATAAATTCTAAAAAAGTTTAATTGCTCTCTTTACCTATATGTATAAATTATTTTTGACTTTGAATATATAAAATATATATGTAGTAGGTATAGACCCCATACTCATAATTTTTTTTAAACTTATTGGAGTTTATAAACGTGGTCAATATTTTCAGAATATCGAAAACGAAATGAAAGCCCGTGAGCGCGAGTCCGAGGAGAGGTTCAAGCAAGCGGAGATAGAGTATAAAGCACTTCAAAAGAAACTTGAACAACAGGTATGGTAATAATCAAATGTTTTTTATAAAATACCTTTGCTGTAAGAAAAGGTATAGTAGATTATTATGTTGCACACAAATACATTTATCATAGTAAGGACAAGTATGATGATGAAGTAATGGATTAATGATGATAAAGATGTGAATGAATGATTATGGAGAAGTGAATGAATAATACAAAAGAAAGGCGATTTCATCTAATAATTGAATAAATGACGTTGAAGAAATGATTGAATTAATGATGACGAAGAAATGAATGAATGAATGATGATGAAGAAATGAATTATGATGAAGAAATGATTGAATGAATGATGATGAAGAAATGATTGAATGAATGATGATGAAGAAATGAATGAATGAATGAATTATAAAAAAAATATGAAATAAAAGACATGTTGTTTATTTTACGATAATGATTACTCCATATAATAAATAGCTGATGAATCGAACTTGCAATTTCTATTCTCGATTCGCGTATTCACGTAAAAAAGAGCGAAGCTATTACAGGTCTTTGACTTTCTAGGAAAGAAGGAAAGAAAAGAAAGAAAAAACTTTATTACACATAATAAATAACGATGTTTATTAAAATAGAAAGTGTACTAGTCCCTACACTAGGATTCCCTGTGGCAGCCAGTCTCTTCCTTTTGACATGTAAATTGTATTTAAATTTATGTTTTCTACATAACAAATTTATAATTAAACTATTTATGCACATTAAGAATATTTTCTGTATTAGCATACGACAGGTTGACAAGATGTTGTTTAAGATTTTTAGTGAAACGTTTTGAAACGTCAGTGAATATTTTGTTTTTAAGAAATAATGGTAGACCTAATATGTATAATATGACGGTTTTACATAAAAATAAAACCGATATTATGTGCCGAGAAGGAAAACATACAGCTTTGTATAATGAAGAAGCAATTACTTAGCCGTGAAGTGCGATACATACCGAGTGAAATAGTTCCTCTGATGAGATGGCCTGTTGCCTCAATTTACTTATCTTAACACTAGGACGTTGTCATTTCCACAGTCATAGAGTCTTCACCAGGAAGAGCTTCCTACAATGCTGTATGTTTTCCTTCTTGGCACATAATATCGGTTTTATTTTTATGTAAAACCGTCATATTGATGTGCCTCCGGAAAACATACAGCATTGTATAATAAGACGTGTTTGTTTCTCTGGTGGATGTATAAAGTACAGTATAAAACACAACGCTATGATGATTATGAAGAATTAAAGTCAGGGCTTTAGCTAAAGCCGTTATTGTTTATATAACTATTTTATTTACTTGCCAAAATTCTTAATCAAAGCATAAGAATTTAGCAATAATTATTATTCTTAGTTACGGTATAAATATAACTATATTGATTGAGATGTACAATTAACATAATAATATAAACTTCCTATCATCACAACAAGGTATTTCTATAATTAAGATGGTGCAAATGTATTAAAGAAAGAGTGATGAGTTTTCTCTACGAGAGTCTATCTCGCGGCAGTAATGATTAAAGAATGTATGTACTCGTTTTGAAGATTTCCAATTACCCCGTGTAATAAAAATTTTTATCTATTGGTTGATTTTCGACCTAATTATTTTGCTGTTGATGGATATAAAAATATTGCTTAAACTTTTTACTTAAGATCTTCTTGTACCTGTTACTCAAAGCTATTTTTTTTTTTTTTAAAGACAGTTCACAACAATTGACCTAGTCCCATGCTAAGCTGGTGAAGCTTGTGTTATGGGTACTAGGCAACGGAACTTATAGATAGACGGACGGTTAACTACATATTTCAACACCCACCTACACAACACCAAATGCTCATCACATCGATGTTCGTCCCAGCCGGGGATCGAACCTGGGACCTATGGATTCGCAGTCAGGGTATTACCACTAACCAATGATCGTCAGGGCTACTAAGTCTCACTAAAGTAATAGGGCATATGTTTCTATCGTGGTGTTTAGAAAGTTTCCATGTTGACTGGCGTCTTGAGTGTCTGTCTTAGATTCGAATACCGGTGTTAAATAAATGTTACCACCATCATCCACAAATTGCTCGTCAGAAATTTCTAATAAAGTGAACCCTGCGGCCCAATGCTAAATGCAATACTGTGTCTGTTCTGCGAGCCGTATCGAATAAAGTGCCCCTAGGAGGGTTGGAAGAAAGCCAGTCTAGTACTATTCGCGGGTCCCACGTGACGGATGATTTCACGGCTTTTGGTTTAGCTACTTTTAATACCCTGAGGGTGTATTTAATAATACAATTTGAAAATGTTTTTTGTTCTACATGGGGACCGCAAAAAGTTAAAACTGCCGATTTGCGAACAAGAATGGTTGAATAGGATAAATTCTCTTTTAGAAAAAGTGATATTAAAATTTTTGCAATATCGGCTGGTTGAGGGGATTTTGGGTTCACTTGAGAGTTGTCACACCATGACAGCCCTCTTTTGATTGCGGGTAAATAAGTGGACAAGTTGGAGTGACGCCAACTCTTCAAAAGTAGATCTTTTTCCTGTGTGGACCAGTCTTATTTGGGCACCCCACCCCCAATTTCCCAAACTTTTAGGGTCAATGCTTGTATTTGTGGAGGAGGCAGTGCAGTTGTCGTATCTAGGAGTGTCTCCGATAGGTGTTGAATTTCGTGGGGGTGATCTAGAGACCTGGATTTCAGGTCCTGCAAAAAGAAACCTCGCGGCCAATCTGAAGCAACTATCAGATAGGTTCCCGTCGCCCGGTTCAGGTGTGCTAAACTCAGGGTAACAGACTTGGAGGGGGGGAAGAAGGTTGCCACTACGCAGCCTTTTTTCCCCTTTATAATCTGCCTGCTATGATCACCCTGGTAGGTAATGTACCGACAGAGTTATGTTGAATTTGTCCGTCAGGTGCAATAGTTTGAAGGTTAGTGTAAGTAACCCTATCGGTTTCGTTTCACCTTCTTTTTTAATTGTATGCAATCAGAGTTTCATTTGCCCGATTGTATTAACACGTGTGTGTTTTGTAATATTTTTACATTTATTTTTATTGCGGCTATCACTGCATGTAGTTCCTTTTTGTTGCAGTGCCACGTTTTCTATTGGTATGACCATTTTCCTGACAAGATTTCCGTCTAGATGTGACCCCCCCAACCCCAATCCGAGGCGTCCGTCGCTAGGAAGTGGGTTGCAGGTTCTTTGTGTATAGGCGTCGTCTGATGAGTAGCTCCGAGCCACCACATCTGTTCCTGCCCTACAATCTGAGGCAGCAGTTGACATCGACTAGGTCGGATCTTGTTGAATTGTCGCAGAAAGATCTGTACCTGGCGACAATGAAGCCTCCCGCGGGGCACGAAAAAGTTTGCGAAGTTTACATGCCCTAGCAGACATTGTAACTCGCGAATACAACGCATAACTATGGTTAATGCGCTGTATTTTTACCTTGGGTAGTGACATCACATCGACCGAAGTATTCCAGCGAATTCCAAGGTATTCTAAATTTTGGGTTGGTACCAATACGGATTTTTGATAATTGATTTTCCAATCTAGGTGTTCGAAGTGTCTCACGGCCTCCGGGGCCTGAGAATGTAACTTGGAAGGTGTTCCAAGTGTCTCCCGGCCTCCGCGGCCTGAGAATCTAACTTGGAAGGTGTTCCAAGTGTCTCCCGGCCTCCGCGGCCTGAGAATCTAACTTGGAAGGTGTTCCAAGTGTCTCCCGGCCTCCGCGGCCTGAGAATCTAACTTGGAAGGTGTTCCAAGTGTCTCCCGGCCTCCGCGGCCTAAGAATTTAACTTAAAAGGTGTTCCAAGTGTCTCACGGCCTCCGCGGCCTGAGAATCTAACTTGGAAGGTGTTCCAAGTGTCTCCCGGCCTCCGCGGCCTAAGAATTTAACTTAAAAGGTGTTCCAAGTGTCTCACGGCCTCCGCGGCCTGAGAATCTAACTTGGAAGGTGTTCCAAGTGTCTCCCGGCCTCCGCGGCCTGAGAATCTAACTTGGAAGGTGTTCCAAAAGAATGTCTCCCGGCCTCCGCGGCCTAAGAATTTAACTTAAAAGGTGTTCCAAGTGTCTCACGGCCTCCGCGGCCTGAGAATTTAACTTGGAGTCGTCTTGAGCTGACCAGAAGGTAGTCGTCTAGGAAGACCTAGCACTCGACCCTCCCTTCGCACGTAAGGTCTCCCGACCCAACATGATACTGAAGAGAAAAGGTGTGGTGCTGACGCTAGCCCAAAAGGAAGGCAAGTCATATTTTCGTATAACTGCCCTTTTTAGCTGAGCCTTAAGAAAGGTCGGTGTAATTTCGTTGCCGGTAGATGGAAATAGGCTTGTGATAAATCTATTTATCATCCAGTCCCTGGTTGAAGAAAGTCTGGGACTTACCGTGGAGATCAACCGAAAATGTTTTGTCTTCACGAATCAGTTTAGTTCCCGCAAATCTACAATAGGACGCATCGTGCCGTCGCTTTTCCTGCGAAGAACCATTTTGGATATAAAACTGAGGGTTTTGTTGAGAACTGTTTGTAGGTTACCTTGCTTGATTCAGGAGTTCTTTGATTATCTGCGATGTCGCAGGTGACGGTTCGGTTGCGTATTCACTTACTATTCGATTTGTTGGCATTGACAAAGGCGGTTTCTTGTACAGAGTTATGCGGAATCCTTGAATTGTGTTGGATAGTAATTTTTTTTTTCCGTCATTGTTAGATAACGGGTAGTTTGATTTTCCTGTTAAACGTTCGCATCGTTTCTTGTTTTATGTAGGTATTACGAAAATTATTTTTTCCATTTTGTGCCTGGTGTCTTTATTTGGATGTAGATGCTGACGATTCTTTGTATCTAGGTTTAAAAAGCTCTCTTACTCTTGAAGGTTGCGGCGGAGATAACCAGAATTGCGGCCCACCAAGGGATTGTATGAAGGACGCGAGCTTATTTTTGTCAAATAAAAATTCCTCGCTATAGGAGGTATATTACTAAGCGCAGTTTGAATACTTTTTGTCCGAAATCTCACTTATTAATCTTTTTACGCGTAGTTTCTATACATTCCGCTCGTTTTCCGCATACAATTTGCAGGGTTTGTTCATGTAATTTGTGAGAAGGTATGGTTTGGATTCATTACCAAAAATATAGGATATTTTTGTGAAAAAATTAGCGGGTTTTAATTCCGTTGGGTTATTACGAGTCCAGTTTATGATTTTTTGTAATCCAGATTGTAGTAATTCCCTTTGACATAAGACAACGTATTTCGTCTTGAATTTTCAGGTTACAAAAGCCTGGAGACGTCAGCATGTCTGCCAGGACTTTTTTGGATCAAATATGTTACCACGTGGGAGTATTAAAATGTTGGAGTTTTATAAGCTCAATATATTATTATAATTTTTATATATTTATTTTGTAATCTTGTTCCCAGTCGACGGATTAATAAAAAATCGCTATAGTAGTTGGTCGGGCGGTGGGTACCCACGTCATTGGACGCACTGGCGTTGACATTTGGTACATATTGTTGATGCATTATAAAATTTGTGAGGAAACTCACCTGATTATATAACGCGTCGATCATGGGATCGACCGTTACCTGTGCTACTCGTTTCCTTTTCTTTCGTGGCGGTCCCTCGCGCTCCGAGTCGCTATCAGACGCGCTGCTGGTGCACGTGAAGTCCTCTTTGTCTTGTTCGTGACCTTGCTCGACACTTTTTTAGACTACCTGCCTGATCGGCCCCGGCGGCGGCCTTATCGGCATCGTGAGTCTATTACGCACTTGTAATGTATAAATAATAACGTTTTGCTAATAATTAACACTAAGAAAGTCTATAAGGTTTTAAGTCGTTTCGGTTTCGACCGCACGCGGCGAAAGTACACAACGCTATGACTGTGGAAATGACAACGTCCTAGCTGGTTAAGATAAGTATGAAGTTGAGGCGATTACAGCGCCATCTATTCTATCTAAGAGGAACTATTTCACTCGGTATGTATCGCACTTCATGGCTAAGTATACATTGCTTCTTCATTATACAATGCTGTATGTTTTCCGGAGGCACATCAATAGCTTAATTAAAAAAATACAAAAAATATTGGAAGTTACAGAGAATGCTGTAGATCACAAAAGTTATTGTCTTAAATTATTTTCAGACCAGCAAAAACAGTGAATTAGCTGGTGTACTCATAAAGTTTGAAGAGCGAGTGAAGCAACGGGACAAGAAACTCGAAGAGGCGGCGAACGGAGAGAACTCTTTAAGAAGGGAGATCGAGATGCGGGACAACGTAAGTATTTCATACAATTGTTTACAAACGGCCTTTTAAATCGTGGACTATATAGCAATTTGTTGGTTACCATCTTTTTTGTTTCTATAATTCATCACTGTCTCGCACTCTTGCACTTCATAACAATATGTTTTATATAAGAGTTGCCTGGAAGATATCGCTTAGCGGTAACTATTTTTTAATGGTGTTCTTTTATGTTGTAAATTATGTGCAATAAATAAATAAAAGCCTTTATTGCTGTGATTACTTAAACTAGTACATAAAAATGTGAAATACAAAAAATTAACACTAAAAATAATAAAAAATAAACACTATAAATTAATCGGCAAGCCGGTTGATTAGTGTTATACAGCTTGTCCTTGGACATAGGCCTCCTCTCAGGGCTTCCACTCTTCTCTGTTTCTAGCTTTACGTAGGCAAATAGGGCCAGCTGATCTTCGCAACAAATAGTGAATACACAAATAAAGGAAATAATAATACATCGTTTATTCGCAAAGTGGTGCATTCACATTGATTAATTATAAAAAAACGCACAATCAGCCATATAATAGGCATGCAAATGTCATATTAATTTTCATGTCATATAATAAGTTAAGTTATGGAACTTATGTTCTAAATACTGCCCTATAAAGGCACTTTTTCTTTAAATATTTAATCACTTTCCGTTTGACAGCATTACATGGCATATAACTTCTAGGAAGGTGATTAATATATAATGAAAATTAGTATATAATGCTGTGATTGCCTTAACTACGATGATTGAGATAACATTGTCACGACTGACTGGATTAAATAATTTATATTAAGACCATACGTTATTTGCCTGTTGTTCCCACGAGAATGTGCGTGCTCATATTTCACCATGTCTCCTGCTGATAGAGGACAAGTCTTTGTTTTTTATTTATTTTTATTTATTACTTAACATGGTGTAAAGGTTTCAGCTCCTTACAAACGTTGTGTAAAACAAAAAACTTGGCGATTAAAAAGAGTGGCGGAGAGTTTATTGCCAGTTCTTCTTTTCCGTTCTACGCCCTTGATTTGAGAACTGGCACTAAATGTAAAATTAGAAGCATTAATATGTATTTCTTTACTGACAAGTCATAAGTGTAGAATGTGTTACCTATATGTTTTTTTTTTAAAGATATTTTTTATTTAATATAACATATAGCCAAAACGGATTACACCATACGGCCAATATTTTTACTAACAAGGACAATTTTTGCTAGTTTAGATATTTGTGTAAATGTGCAATGGGTGTATAAGCGTGTAAATTTATCACCAGATGATAAAGCAACTAGAGAAGACAGTGGTAGAGAGAGAGAACAGACTGTACCAAGTGACGAATCAGTTGGAAGAGATGAAGCGAGTGCAAGAGATGGTCGCCAAACTCATGACCAAGAGTTCTTCTAATGTTTCCACGTGAGTTATTTGTACTTTTATTAAGAGTTATAACCGTCAAATTTTTGTGTTGGAGATGATACTGGTTTGTTTCACTTATAATTTGTCTTAATAATACCTAGGCTCATTCACTTGAAAGATCGTCGTTTCACAACTGAACGTTATTTAAGGCAGTTTTTTGCCGCTCGCCACCATTATCTCCGAACCAATTGTGCTTAGGGCTTCAAGAACAGTTGGTACCGATTTTAAAAGGCTGGCAACGCATTGGCGAGCCTTCTGGCAATGTGAGTATCAATGGGCTACGGTATAACATAATATGAGCCTCTTGCTGCCTTTTCTATATAACAAAAATTCAATAATATGAATTTTATTGGAAAAAAAAATCTGATAGAATTAATAACGTCCTTCATAAGTATCTTTCGGTTAAAAAATAATATAAATATGACTAATAAATCAATAAAGGGTTATGAAATAGTCAAGTTTCAAGAGCTGTCAAAGCTAAGCTATACTTATAGCTATCATTATGTATACAGTGCCACATAATATTTAGGCTTGGCCGGTAAGAGCGTCGCTGGGGGGCCTCATAGCCTAGCGGTCTTATTAAGTGGCAGCTAGGTGAGGGGTACCGGGTTCGATTCCCGGTTCGAGGGCAAGTTTTAATTTAATTTAAATTTGTTCTCGGCCTTTGGGAGGGTTGTGCGGTACCGGGCGAGTGCTTAAACCGTACATGGAGGACACGGTCGAATTTCTAAAGACAAAGCACGAGTAATATAAAAAAATTCTATACTTGACGCTGGCTAATGCACAAATCGTGCCAGAGCCATTAATAAAAAAAAAGAGCGTCGCTGTCATGGATGTCATGGAGTACTGCCAGTAAATTAAAATTAACCATTATAAGGGGAATAATTTGATGTCATGCAGACTAAATTATTTATTGAAATGTCTCAATAAAAAAATGTATACTAGTATCAAGAAAATATAGTTCTAGGCTTAAATAAATGTGACACAAACTTAGGAACAACTGATGTGTTTGTTACCGGTATTATTAATATAATATCTTTTATGATATAACTTTGCCATTGTAATTAATAATGCAAGGAATACAAATACATTTTAGTTGGATTTTTATTGATGTTGGTAGATAGTAAAATTGTTTATTGTATGCATCAAGAAATTACAGCTAACTGACAATCTCAGTCTGACATTTCAAAATGGCGACGATAGTACCAATTTCAGCCGCCGGCCAAGAAATGTATATAGCACTGTACATTATTGTAATGTATTAAAATTTAATCTCTTTTTCAGGTAAACCTGAAGATGGCGGAAGATGTCCTCACATAGATTATTTTTATACGAGTACTACTTTTTATAATTGTCGAATATTTGAATTATGAAATTATCAATTGTCTTTACATTATTAAATGACATAGTATTTTATATGTTTTATTTCATTCATCAGTATTTCCTGCAAGAATTTCTCATTATATGTCAAAACAATATACAGCTCCGTTCAGCGTCTGTTCTCTGTAATATCAAATAGCTAGTGAGATTTGGTTTGTAATGATTTATACCAATCTAGTTATTTTACTATCCGCTAGTATTTCAAAGTTGGGGTAGGGAAAGGTGGGTCTTGGAGAGGTGGACACAACCGCCGCATTGCTTGTCGGGAAGCGGTTAAAGCTCTGCTGTTACCACATCCCGCCTAAGGCGATTTTTAGTGGCTCCTTGGGAGTTTTAGTACGCACAATCGTGAGTCCCAGATAAACCCACCTGCACTAAGCATTAGCGCCGCGGTATGCGCAATGGATTTCCCATTTTAGTTTAAAAAAGGATGGGACTATTACACCTGTATGGCCGTGTACTACGGTCGTAATTAGTTCTTAGTCTACTCTGAAACAGGCTATCGTATAACTTAATATTGAACTAGGATTGTCTATTGCTATTGATAAATTAACATTTTGCATTATTCAATATTTTATTTTAGAATTTAAATGTAGCTCTTTAAATAATCGATTGATTCAACCATACAGTCTCAAGCTGTATTGTCGGAGAGGTCGTAGATCGTAACGCAACGTTACTTGAAAGGTATTGTCAGTTCTAGTGAAGTGTAAAAGAAAATTCCAAGACAAATTGCCCCATAGTACAGTTTTGAACAGACGCAGTACACGTTGTACTGCTCCTCAAACCTAATGAGAGGGTCGTCGACCAGTCACCTCTGACTGGGTGATTGGTCCCAGTGACTAAGATCGAGAAGATGTATATATCCAGGAGTGCTTTTGTTAGCGCTATTCAGTGTATATGTTAGGTCGCTATAGTTTCCTGCAATTTTTTTATAGAGGGTAAACGAGCCCATAATGACCATAATGGGCAGTAATCGCAGGCCCTGGACATCCATTTAGTGGGTGCGTTTGCCGGTCTTTGAGGGAGGAGTATGTGTCTATGTTTAAAACAATTGGTGGTCATTCCCACAGTTCGCTAGTTCACGGAAGAAAATGACTATTGAAGCAGACTGTGAAAGACTTCCAGCTTGGAGATAAAGCGGCTCGATGATAAAACGAGGCAAGAGCGATCCACCCAAATAACTTTTTAAAACACTCACTTTGTAAAATATGCATAGAAATCGAATGTTTCTGCGTAGAGAAAGTTCAAGCCGATCAGTTCGTTATTTCAGATAGACAATTCGACAAGTCCTTCGCTGAATTTCGTCAAAGTCATTGGATACGCATGAGTAATCTTCTAAATCTACACATACTTTCCTTCACGCAAAGTTAAACACCAGCCTTGCGATTCTGTAACTCACTTTTCGAACTCACACAGCGGTTTTCACAGCGGCGGATGCGCTCAAATCAGACTGATTGCAGTCATTTTACGATGTGGCATTCTGATAAACAATAAACTACAAGCTCTCTCCTTATTGCCTGCCTTGCGATTACAGAATCGCAAGGCAGCTCTGAAATTATTGTTTTAAAAGTTAAAACGGCTAAAATACACATTACACTACTCAGAAACAGAATTACATAAACTAAGTATTCTAAATATAATTAAGACTTCCCAAAATATAATACCGTTTTAACGATTCGGCTTAGAATAAATATTTTTAGTACATGTCTCGAGTGCTAATAGTTCAAGGTTGTCTGAACGTCAAAGCCAAGCCTGGGACAGAAATGGAACAAAACCTATATATGTACATCGAAATAAGAGATTAAATTAGTTTTACTTTGATGCGTCTAAATTATTAGGCCTAGAATTATTATCATTGAGTTGTTATACAATTTTGTCTGAAATAGATGATTTAAATATTTATTATTATTACTTAATCTTTGTGGCATTAATAATAGATACATATACGATCAAATAAAAAAAAAGGCAACGAACGAAGTAACGCTTTTTATTTTATAGGTAAATGAGCCTACGGAGTACGGATGATCAAAAACGGCAGTCATCGCAGCCTATAGACACCCAATTTAGTGGTTGTAGTACCAGCGGAGTATCGTCAATGTAGACTTATAGAATAAGAAACAAACATCTAAAATAAAAGCTGTATGTCCTAAGTGTAATTTTAAAAGCACACAGTATAGTAGGCTGTTCTTAAATCGAAATAGGGATGTTGTCGTAGGTCCGACCTTGAGGACTGAGTTCGCCAGACTCAATATGCAAATTGACAATCTTGTAAGGCCCCCCCCCAGCTTTTTTTTTAAATTTTTTTTTTTTTTTTTTTTAAAAAATTCCCTGGGGCCTTTTCAAATTTTTTCCCCCCGTTTTTTTTTTTTTTTAAATTTTTTTTTCCCTTTTTTTTTTTTTTTTTTTTTCTTACATTTTATCTTATGTCTACTTAGTTATTAACGAAATTTAATTAAAGTAAATGTAAATATTATCATATTATTTCCTATTAGACACCGGTTTCTTGATGGTCTTGCTTTTCAGCATAGGCCTCCCCAAGTGTTCTCCACAAAGATCACGAACATGCACTAGGCGTGTTGAAAACAGTTGATAAATCAAAAACAAAAGTAATTAATATAAAAGATGTGAATAATGATAATAATTTATTTTTGAAAATAAAATAAAAAAGTAAAAGCTAATCTTAAAGTCGTTACAAATAATGATATAATGTATTTACAATTACAAAAAAAGTTGTATTTTTTACAAAAGTCACGATTATACATGGAACGGTTATGTTTATGTAGAAGACCTTAGAGAGGTAGCCATCTTATAGAATTGGGGAGTGTATTTCATAAGCTAATGGCGGAGATGCTAAAAGAATTGCCTAAAAAGGATGAGCTGCGAGATGGAATTTTCTAAATGCATCAGAGTGTAATATACCTACAGTTACAAGGACCAAAGAAAATAGATATATTCCTTATTGTAGTCTGTTAGGTTTTCATATACCTCGTGTAACTTAGCTGCACCGGAAGCTTCATCATAGTAAAAAAAATATTCTAATATCACCGATTAACCTAATAAAAGTGCTATCTTGTTTTTTTCGTATTGTATTGTCGCTGTCAAAGAAATCAGTACTTTTGTTGACACGCTGCAATTTGACAGATTTATCTTTATAAAAAAAAGGTTAAAATTGAAATATTCTTTTGTGTTGGGTAATTTCAAGACAAGTGGCAGCTGGCCTCATCTAGAGAATCGAAAAGCCATTTTTCTAACAAATAATTAGTTAAAACTTATTCTTATTGCCTAGTCAAGACCACGTTGAAGTTTTCACTCCATTCAACTCATACTTTTGTCTTCCTCTGTACTTACAACCCTCCATAAGTTGGGACCTGAGCGCGGTGATCACAGTGGCGTGTTTGTACCGTCCGAAAAAAAGCGAACACTCGAGCAGCCGCCGCGGCTTCGTCCTTGTTTTTTTAACCTAATTTACTTTTACTCAGGCATGATGCTGCTTTTTATCTTATCTTTATTTTTTTACACTATTTGAATACAATAGAATACTATTTAATTATGTATCACAGAAAGTGAAGGAAGGTAAGTTTTGTAATGAATAAAAATACAATGTTTAAGTTTATACATTTATTA